ACACTAGTATTGTGTTTTATTCCAAAGACACATGGCAAATTTTCCATCAAATTCCTTTATTAGTTGAAACGGCACATTGTTGTTTACTCGTTTCGGGCTTTGCCCCTCTTCAGTCAACTAAAATACAATATATATATTTAACTTATAACAGTAGAGAGTTTACATAAAACAATGAGTACATAAACGATATATAGACGTACCTTTTGGTTACACTTTGTATAATTTAAAAACGTAAAATCTGCTTTAATCGTTGTATAACTAGTATATATTATAAATAAATTAAAAGGTTAAAAGTTCTAAAATCTTCTCTTATAAGCATATTTTGATAATACAAACTAAAAAATTTTTTAACTGTTTCCTCCCCCTCTTTACCTTCCACCCCCTTTTTTATTTTTTCCTTATGCGCTGGTGTCTTAAGTGTTGCCATGTATGACGTTCGATAGAAAAAAAAAAGGAAAAAAATTATAAAAATATTATTTATAATATATTAATCCAGTTTTCGTTTATTTTAAGACTTAAGTTTTTATTTATACTTTATTTACACTTTTTACTATATTTATGAAAAGTAAAGACAGTATAAATAAAAACTTAAGTCTTAAAATAAACGAAAACTGGATTAATATATTATAAATAATATTTTTATAATTTTTTTCCTTTTTTTTTTCTATCGAACGTCATACATGGCAACACTTAAGACACCAGCGCATAAGGAAAAAATAAAAAAGGGGGTGGAAGGTAAAGAGGGGGAGGAAACAGTTAAAAAATTTTTTAGTTTGTATTATCAAAATATGCTTATAAGAGAAGATTTTAGAACTTTTAACCTTTTAATTTATTTATAATATATACTAGTTATACAACGATTAAAGCAGATTTTACGTTTTTAAATTATACAAAGTGTAACAAAAAGGTACGTCTATATACCGTTTATGTACTCATTATTTTATGTAAACTCTCTACTGTTATAAGTTAAATATATATATTGTATTTTAGTTGACTGAAGAGGGGCAAAGCCCGAAACGAGTAAACAACAATGTGCCGTTTCAACTAATAAAGGAATTTGATGGAAAATTTGCCATGTGTCTTTAGAATAAAAACACAATACTAGTGTTTATTACGCCACAAATTATTTCTACTCGACACTGAAGGTGTTCAAATTTCTGGAAGAACTTACCACTATATATTATATGCAGATTATCTCGTATTACTTTCACCAACAAAAATCACTTTGCAGCACAAACTAAATATAACAAACAACTATCTGAATTCCCTGTTTTTAACAATCAATATCTCAAAAACCAAAATAATTATATTTAAAAATAATGTTAAACTTCCAAAACAAGAAAAATCATACTATTTAAATAATCAATCTCTCACCTTGGTTAATGAAATAAAATATTTAGGAATATCATTCAACTGGATCACCTGAAAAATCTAACTACAAAAATAAATACTTTGATGGACAATATTATTTATTTATGCGCAACTTTAAAAATTATAAATATAAAACTACAAATGAAACTATTTAATTTTTTGATTATCCCTTCAATATATTATGCAAGCCCTATTTGGGCATTAGACTTATTATACGATTTAGAAAAATTCCATGTTATTTACTTACGAAAATTATATGAAATAGAAAGAACAGTTTCTGGTTATGCAATTCATGCCGAAACTAACAGATTCCAACTATTTCTGTTTTATTTAAAGAGACTGATTAAATTCTATTATAGATTAAAACAGTCAAATAAAGATAATATAAGATTCTTACATCAAATAATGCTAAATCAAAATTTTAACTCAGATAACAATAAAAATCTATGGCAATATAAATTCAATAAATTATTACAATCTTTTGGTGTATCAAACAGATTATTTGATAGTTCAGAAATGAATTGGCANCTTACATCAAATAATGCTAAATCAAAATTTTAACTCAGATAACAATAAAAATCTATGGCAATATAAATTCAATAAATTATTACAATCTTTTGGTGTATCAAACAGATTATTTGATAGTTCAGAAATGAATTGGCAATATGGATACTCTCTAATGATCGAATCTGCATTTTCTCAATCAATAATAATGGATCAAAACTTATTATATCAGTCTGTATACCATCCATGCTACATCAACATTTTAAACATCCCGTCTACTTCGAACATCATAACAGCTAATATCAATATGAATATAAAAAGATTATTAATTCAATTAAGACTAAATAAATATTCATTGTTTATCAATAATACTTATTTTGATTTTACTAAGGACAGATGTTATTGGTGTAAATCAAGTGACTATTCTCTGAACCATATACTAAGAGACTGCGAAGGACTAAAGAAATATCATCAAAAATATGAAATTATAGAAGTAATATCTACAAAACAAAATCAAGACTTTAGAACTAAATTAAACAATCTTACGTTAAATCAAATGTATAAAATTAATGGTTTTTTTAATCAAATTGCCAGAGAACTAAAAAATATGTAATAAATTAATTAAAAAAAAAAGAAAAAAAATTGTTTTTACTAATTATGTTACTTAAAGTAAAATATTTAAAAATGAAAATAATGATAAAATTTAATACTAAAGGTATTATTGTAATGTTATTAATGATCTTGAATGTGATGTATATCAAACGATGAAAAATTAACAAATGTATAATAATATATTATTGGAAAATACCCCCTGTAACAAGGCTTAGCCTTAATGCAAATAAAAATATTTGATTGATAATTTCAAAATTTCTCTTCTACTTTTAATGTTTAAAAACAATCAGTAGGCTTTTTAACTCCAAAAATTAGTGAATACAGTACTGTTAGTTTGTTTTATGAATAAACTCTTAAGAATTGCATTTCTATAAAATCCTTAAATCCTAAATAAATTTTAAGGCATTCTTTTAACTAAACATAAATTGTTATTTAAAAATGAAATTTCTGTAAGTACAAATTAAATATGAAAAGTATGATTATACTTTTATTTTATTTATACATTAAATCTTTTTTAGATATCTAAACAGTCATTTATAAGGAACAGACTTTATTGAGAAAAATATTTTAACAGAAAAAAATTAAATGAAAATAATGTGGACTAAGGAAACTGCAGAAACCTAGTACAGTCGACCCCCCTATAAGATCATTGATTTTTCCGTTTTATCTGAATTACATGTTGTACGAGTCACTTAGATTTTACAAATACATGTGCCGGGCTGTGAACGGCTCACATATTTGTAAAATCTAAATGACTCGTACAACATGTAATTCAGATAAAACGAAAAAATCAATGATCTTATAGGGGGGTCGACTGTAGTAAAAAAGTATTGAAAACAGATAATAGTAAGAAGTGTTTGATAAAATATAGTAGAAGATATGGAGATGAAAGTCACTGCTCTGTAATTCAGCCAGAGATAAACTAAAAAAAGATTTTTTGGAAATTACCTCAAAATCAGCATACTGGTCTTCAGTTAAAATTTTTTTAGCAACGACTAATGTCCGGAGACCTTCCCGAGCCATGTTTCCACACTATTATAAAAAGTAATTTTTTTAATAATTTTATACACTTGCTTTCATCTTTAATTCTCTAACAATTACCTCTTCATCTAGCCAATCATTATATTGGACTATACTAGACATTACTACGTCAGCTCCTTTCATGTAGAATGTTATTTCCCCGGTATTTTCTTCCTGTAACAAAACCATTTTGTATTTGAATTAATATTTTATAATGGAAGAATTTTAATTATCATAATTTATGATTTGAATAAATTTGTAAATTATCAAACAATTTATAATGTATTATCTTCTCCTTATTGTATCTATATTGTTATTATATAAAACTTGAAATAATACTTGTTACATAAATATGTCTAAGAAATCACCACTTAAACATAAATAAGAACAAAAAATTGCTTTAATGGAGAAAAAAACAATTTAAAATACAGAAAGTTAAAAGTACTTTGAACTTTTATATTTTTAGTTGTTATAAATACGTGTATTTGTGAAATAGTTTAATTATGGCCACCCTATACTTCAAAAATGATATATAAAGTTTCTCTATTCATCACACACTGTAGAAAAGGATTATGAAAAAAACATTACTTTGTGCAATTATTAAAAAAAATACAGTCGACCCCCCTATAACACGGTAGATACATTCCGGTTTTTATAAAATCCATTTTCTATAGGTCCTTTTAAATACATGAGCCAATCACAGCCCAGCACGTATGCAGTTTACGGACTACGGCTGTTTGAAAGGTTTTCTTCCATAAAATTAATCGATTCTAGACTAATTCGACTCAACATTTCCAAAACACGTATAATTTTTTGGGAATAATCCATATAAACTATGTTATAAACAAAAAGTTGTAGGATTACTTACCAAGTGTACACCGTTCGACGACACCATTGCTTAACCTTGTTTTCGTCGTGGAGCGGTGTATCGAATGGCACTCACATGATTCCTGATAAATTATTTTTTTTGCGAAAAATTCGCTGAACTTTGGAGACATCATTAATATAAATATAATTTTTATGGACGTTAAATAATAAATGGTTTTTAGTAGGTCCGCTGCTTGTTTAAACTCAACAGTTTGTGCAATATCTGCTATTAATCTAGATTCAACCAATCCTATCGCAACACGAGTCAGCGACGACATTTTACCGAATCATACGAGTCTCTTTTAGCATGTTTATACGAATACGGTCACAATTTTTTCGTTGTCATATAGGAATCCAAACTATATGAACCCATTTTATAGGGGTGTCTATTGTATATGCAATATGTCATAATTGTCTGTCTGGTAGAGAACAACAGAAGCAGATTTGGCAGGCTACCTGTTGCCATCACTGTTCTATACAATTTTTTTCTTTTACATGTTAAAGCTAAAGACAGGCTATAATAAAGACAAAAGTACTTCTTTAATAAACTTAAGATTGATTGCTTTAACTAAACAGTTCCATATGGATGTAATTTTAATGCTTATTAACTAGGTACTATCAGCAATGAGAGAATAATAATACAGAATTTTCTACTTCATTGTTTAGCAGTTTATAAACATAAAAGATTTATGTAAAGTATCAATATAGCAACCATTAGATAAGTTTTGGTTAAGTATTATATTTGTATTTTAGCTAATTCTTCTTAATTTTTTTCTAACAATTTGTTTTACTGTTTTCTTGAAACTGATAAGAAACTCCTCTGAAGACATTCAAAATATACAAAGTTTGTTACTCACTCATAAATTTGGGCAATAAAAATGCATGAAAATCATAATAAGAGAGTTAAAACAAGAAATTTGTTTTGATGTACAGTATTTAGATTGATAGTACAGTGGATGATCAGTTAATGAACATAATCCATTCCAAGACTGTGTTCGTTATCCAAATTGTTTGTTAACCGATTATCAATTTACCAGACTTTTATGGGAATTTGATTAATCTGTTCTGGAGACCCCAAAAAATAAATAAAAAATTATATACTTTCTTACTACGTTTATTTACATGTAATAATAAAAATACATATATACAGAGTCTTGCATTTTTATCAGTCATGTTTTTTCTGTTTGTGGGGAGTTTAAAGAATCTGTCTAATATCGATTGCTTTTCTCTCTCTTTCAAGATTTTTCAGAGGTAATTACTAGCATTGTAATTGTAGCGATCCCCAAGCCTATTATCCTCACCCTAGTACGGATGTGATTCTAAGACTGTTGTTCTGACATCCTCCCACTTCTTCAAAAGTTCTTTAACATCAGATATCTGCACTAATCCTCTTTTTCAGAAGAAAACATATCTCGCCGAGTTTCTTGGTGTTCTTCATTCAAGAGTTCTTATTCTTCTGTCATCAGATGTGTTTCAGGTTCCATTATGAGCTCTTTGATGTTCTTTATTTCTCAGATGTGATTTTTTTTATTCTTTTAGCTGCACGAGTCTTCTTGATTATACTGTATCTTTCTTAGATAAGATTGAACTGCAGCCTACTGTAGATCTGTTCAAGCCATACTGCCCAGCAACATCAGACATCTTCTGCCCACTCTCTACCTTTGCTATTATACTCTTGCCTTTCGAAAATATAAACTGACGCAAAACTTAACGAGTGTCCACCTGACAGTCTTGCGAATACTATAAAAAAATTTTTTCTGTCAGAAAAATAAAAGGCTGGAATTACAAGAGAGAGTTTCAAAGTTTGGAGGAATACTATCCAATCAGTATATACCAGGTTGAGCGTTGATGTCGACGTCTCCTGCGCTCCAAAAAGTTTCTAATTGTTTTCTGAAAACAAGGGAAGACCAATTGGATTTATTATTTTATGTTGCTTCTTCTTGTGTTCGTTCTGCGAGGTGCTCATTGTCCGAACATAAAAATCTTTCGTGAAAGTGTTCATTATCCGAACTGTTTGTTAATCGATCACCTACTGTATATAAAAAAAATTAACAGAGCTATAATTGATAGAAACATCAGAGAAGACATAAAATTTATTTAGTATTTAGGTGTTTAAGAAGTCAAATGTTTCTATGTACACAGTGGCCAAAATTAAAGTTTTCCTAATCAGAACATTCTGTAGCAGTAACCAATAAGTGAATTGCCACCAAAATTTGTATACAGATTATGCAAAGGATGTGAAAAAGGATTTTGAAAAAAAAAAAAACGTTCAAAAACTCCTACTAGGGAACACTTATAGGAAAATACATGAAACAACACAACAAAAATACAATTATTCCATTCCACAAGCTGTTTATTGATATAAGGGATGTGGCTCAGTTTGTGCCTCATTGTTCAGATGTAAATTTGAAGGCAATAAACAGCCAACTTTGTTAATAATGTTTAAAATAATAGATTAAAGTGTCACTTTAGGATTGGTCTTCACTATTTACCATATTTGTTTTATGTATTTTCCTGTAAAGTGCCTGCTAGCAGAAGTTCACTATTCAAAGGTCTTTGCACAGTTACAAAAATTGAACCAACTAGTAACTGATAAGAGCCACAGTGTTCTCATTATTAGTAATAGATAAAAATGTATTTTATCAATGGATTTTTAATCTCATTTCTCAATTGCTTTATGTTTTCTTATAATACAGTGTTATGATGAAGTTGGTTTGGTAATTTTTGTAGAGGAGGAAGATGGGGAGTTGCACATACAGTATATCGAAATGAAATCCACAACACTTCAGAAGTCGTATCACGGCCCTCGAGTCCAAATAAGTTGACCATCATTGGTGTAGAGCAGGGGTGGCCAACCTTTTCAGAAGGCGGGCCAAATTTCAGAAATAATATTTCCTGCCGGGCCACGCATCTAATTTTTTTTTGTGTGTTAATTAAAGTAAACAAGCAAGCGTACTACAGCTTCAACCACATCGTCGTTTCCCAGTAGGTGAGATCGTGGTCAAACACTTGCCTCGTTTAATGTAAAAAAACACAAAAAATAGGTATATTTATTTTTTTCAAGAAAATAAAACATAACCGAGAATCAAACATATTTATTAGACAATTTAAAAATATTTAAAAGTGAGACATCTGACTTTGTTTTACAGAACTAAGTGCATCAAAATTGATCTCCAATGATGATGTCGCTACATGCAAACAGTTTTCCAAATGAACATCAGTAATTCGTGATCTCACTTGTGATTTGATGTACTTCATGCGACTAAAAAGCTGTTCACATGCATAAGTATTTCCAAATAGCGAAACCATCGACAGAGCATGTTTGTAAAACGCAGGATATTTATCCTTGTCCAAATATGTTTTATAGAACTCTTCCAAACCAACTTGATGGAATTTCTCCTTTAACTGTGTATCACAACATATTTCACAATGTTCCATTTGTAATCTTCCTGGTAATAAATTCACGTCTACCGCGAATGACGTTGCAAATGCACGAAAAAGCACATGATGTTTTTCAAAATCCTGAAATCGGTTTTTAAATTCGAGATTTAAGTGAGATATCAAAGAAGAGTATTTATCTGCCACGTCCTGTGTGACGTCTGGTTGCAATGACAATGTAGGAAAGTGAGTAAAGTTTTTTGTCCTCAGCTGTTGTTCCCAAAGACCAAGTTTCATTTGAAATGCAGAAATATGATTATACATCTTATTAATTAATTGATCTTTCCCTTGTAGACGAGTATTAACGTCATTTAGGTGGTTAGTTATATCGACCAGAAATGCAAAGTCGCAAACCCACTCTTTGTCTTCAAACTCTGGGATACTTTTTGACTTGCTTGCAAAAAATGATTGTATTTCTTTCTGCAAATCAAACACTCTTTTTAACATTTTGGCACGGGTCAGCCATCTTACTTCCGCATAAAACATAACGTCATTATAATCTGAGTCTAATGACTTCAGAAATTCTTGGAACTGACGGTGATTCAACCCGTTCGACTTGATAAAGTTCACTACTTTGACAACCACTTTCATGGCATGGTCCATTTTAAGGGACTTCGAACATAAATTCTCTTGATGAATAATGCAATGAAAATTTAGCATTAAAGTATTACCGACTTTGGAGGCCTCATTTTCAATCAATTTTACTAAACCTTCGTGTTTCCCAACCATTGCTGGAGCACCATCCGTTGTTAAGCCCGATAAGTTGTTAAGTTGTAACGAAAAGCGATTCAATGTCGATGTAACTGCCTCTAACAAATCTCGTGACTTAGTAGTGTCCTTAAGTGGATATAGTGCCGCTAATTCTTCTG